AAATAACTAATGTATAATAATAATATAATTATTTATCTTAATTAATTATCTTATTAAACAGCATTCCTCGATGCGTCAGCGCGATCACGGAACATGAAGAATTTCATACATTGCGATGACATAAATAGATATTTCAAGACATATTTAAATAACGTTACCTAGTTCCAAACTAAGCAAATAAGTAGGTAACTGATAAAAATAAGTTTTATTATAAATAAACATATTATAGATATAATCTAGAAAACTATGCTCATCACACTATATTTTTCAACTAAGGGGGATCGAACTCACCCCCTCTGGAGCAAGATAGTGAACCGCTCTCCACTAAACCAGTCGCGACGTCAAATGTCATCATGTATATGTGGCTTGCAGAAACTACATACATTTCTCGTAGGACAGCAATTAAAGTAACAGCTTATAAAGGTCCCACTGCTTGGCAAAGGCCTCCTCTGTAAAGAAGGTCCGCCACGCGACCCCACTGCGGATTTCACATTTTCACTCACGGACCTCACATATTTTTGGAAATATTTTTTTATTCTTATTTTTAAAATATACAGGTTTCCTCACGATGTTTTCCTTCACCCCCGAGCACGATAACAACAGTTAATAGGATAATATTACAACAGTAATTTGTTTAATGTGATAAAGTTGCAAAAAAGCTGGCCACTCACTCACCACTCATCACTTAGAGCCTAATTCAACAGACGAAACGCCAATTAATAAAACTTGTACTTCACACCGGTGTTCTTGGCATTTATTTTCACTGGCCGTTACTGGCAATTACTGGCAGTATCGAAAAATATTAATGACTAATTCTTGCCAGTTCAAGGTGGATAGTGGACTAGATAATAAATAAACCTGGACATATATTTTTTTTTTCTAATTTGTTTTAGGTACTCACTTCAAACTAAATTATAATTTTATGTCTTGAGTTTGAAACAAAATGAATGTATCTGTATGACAATGCAACACAACAACGCTGGTGATAAGATGGTCGATTCTTTTCTCGCTTGTAGGTTAAGTTTAACTTTGCAGCGAGTAAACCGTTCTTCGAACCATTCCATGTAGGCTAGGTTTGTTAGATAACCTGTGACTTAATTAGTATTTAATGTTGTAAACATTGTTTTCAAATGTACAGTGCAATTTATTTTCATAAAATTTTAATCCGACTTATAAATATAAAGTTTTACGTATATTTGTTTTCTGACTTATAATATTATCTAAAATGTGTAACTGTATAAGCTGTGAGCTTAAGATTAAAGTATTGTTACGATAAAATGTTCTATTCATTTATCAACCCTTAATTCGTTAACTAAGTACATATTATGTTCGATGACTCCGTGGCGCAGTGGCCAAGGTATCGGCTTCGGCGTCGGGGGTCGTGGGTTCGATTCCCACACGGGACAACTATTTGTGTGACCCACAGATAGTTGTTTCGCATCTCGGTGTTTGTCCGCGCGAAATTTATGTTTGTAAAACGTCCTTACAACACAGGACAATGTTATCCTAAAGTAAGGGCAATGTTTTTAAAAATAAATAAATAAATAAATTATGTGCTTAAATATTTAGTGATCAAATACCACACATAACAGTGGTTTCGTGTAACATTCTAAGAAATCAAGAAGCGTTACCTAAACAATATCGTACAACATATTATTATCATCTCAAACCAATGAAATCACTTTTCACCAACAAATGAAAAAGACGTATTATTATAAAATTACTTCAATTCGTCTTTATCAAAATCCGTGGGCATTTTTGAAAACCCTCGATCTCTTACCTGTCTTCTTCCAAAGAACGAGGTTAAACGCAATTATCTTACATTATTAACTTATACTTAACTTAGCAGTTTAATTAAACTGTGATTATGTGAAATCAAAGGGTATTAAATTAAAAATTAATAATAAATAAATGTAATACTAAGTGGAGCTATATTAGATCTTGCTATCTTATATGAGTCTAAAGTAAATCTGTATAATTTTAATAAAGCCTGAGGGAAGTTTATATAAGCTAATTTTTAAGCTAGTAGCTAGCATAATCTGATATATCAGGAGCATGCAGTAAATTATTAATTAAGTAGTAAGTATTAAGCAGTAATTAAGTATTAAAATTCATCATAACGGAACTGGTATGTATAAATAAGTTATAAATCCTGGAAAACAGCATATGTACCTTTCTGAATAATTTCAAGTTTTGATATTAGAGTTAACTTATATTAATAGATAATTTATATTCATCATAATTATCATCATTGCGGCCCATTCGAGTCCACTATTAAATAAACATTTGACCCCCACAGACTGTCACAAACCATGATATCAAGCTAGCAGACTCCATCGAATAATTTGTATTGTATATTAAAAGTATGGTTTTTGGAACTTAGCTCTGCTCGGCAACAAGAAAGTAATTAATTTTAGCTATTATAGATTGCGCAATCTCTGCGCACCGCTCAAATTTGTTTTTCCCTCATATAACTCATATTGCGATTTGCATTGACATATTTAGCTGATTATTAAAATGGGTTACAATTAAAACTGGATGGACGGTAAAAAATATATAGGTTTATGTATATAACGAAGAATCGTACTAGAGGTTAATCGTTAAAGTGAATTGATGAGCACATGAAAAAAGTCTAAGTAACACGATAAAACCATGCGAGATTTGCTAATTTTTTTTACTAAAATTATGTTTTTAATTGCTATACGCAATCTTTGTAATCCGAAAATGAATTTTGGCTCATTTTCCTAACAAAGTTATCTTGCTTCATTTTGGTGGATTTTTTTTTTGATAACTTGAATAGTTTTGATTAAGAATTCAGACTATGTTACCTTGAACTACGTTTATGATTTTAAACATTCAAAAATATTCACAGTATGTTATGGAGCGTCCATAAAGGGATATAATGCAAATAACGATAGGAATGCTGCCAATGGGACATGTCACGGACTTTTGGTGTTAACGAAGGGTAAGTAGTTTGGCGCCGTTACATCGGAATATTACTGGAACAACAACCTGAACGATGAAAGAGTACCACTGCTTTGTAAAATTGTTTCATACAACTCACCGCAAGACGTTAAGCTAAGTTGACCGCCCGAGAGGTAGGGCTTTAAAATCTGACCGCCATAAAAAATGATATTCATCCATTTGTTTTTAATAAAAAATAAGCTTTATCCAATTTTTATCTCTTCAGATAAGTGGTACTTTTACTTTTAACCGCACTTTTTAATATTTTTTTAAAAAATTAATCATTACGTTTACATAATAGCATTTAATACCAGTAATTAGCTAATAACCGAATTATCTCCGTTGCGTCAAAGTATTAGTTGGCGTTAATTAGACTTTTTTTACGTGTATAAATATAAAAAATTTTGCTATTGGAACATTTTTTACAAAACTGAATTGTAATCACTACATTTTGATAAACGAAATAGTATGATAAAATATTATTCCTTACCCTAAATCATAATTACCAACATTGTATAGTGTAAAGAGCAATAAACAAGCTAAATAAACTGAAATAGTCTTGAAATGCATTATACATTTTAAGACAAACACCCAGTTTCCGAAAGCGCAATCAATTTTAATTTACGATAAATCTCTTGTCAAACGTTGTTTATCATGATCTGAGTTGCGAAAACGTCTGAAAACAACATTGATTTTGAATTGCAATTAGTCACGGATTAACGGACAATCAAAAGAAAATCGAGTTTCTGAAAGCGTTTTTCGGTGGTCAACGAGCTGTCAAAAGTTTTATTAAGTAATCTGTCAATTTGGCCATTTGGACCATAAATAAAAAATCTTAGTTTTTATTAGAAATAAACATAATTCCCTAATACGTTGTAAGGAAATTCACGTGTTCTATTACCTATTTATTATTTATTATTATGCGAACATATCATGCGATTAGAAAAAATAGAAAATGCAATTCAAAAGTTAATAAATAATATGGATTCTTTCTTTTTATAATACTTACTTGTTTATTATGAATAAAAGTTCATTTCTTGCACGTTTTGTAATGTTTTTTCTTGACATTTTGCATGTATTTATATAAATTAAATTTTATTATAGCTCGGATTTTTACGTTGGCAATCACACGGTGACAGGACTGGATAGTGACGTTAATTTAAGTTTTGTTTAAAAAGGGACAGCTATACAATAGAAAGAGCTAGTTGAAGTAAATCATTCATTTCATTCATTATCGTTGGTTATACAGTGATTAGTTAATTTTTCTTGAACAAACCTTTCAGAAACCCAAGGCAGTTTAACAAGAGATTAACAGCTGATCATTTTTGACATAGTGTTATGTAATTGCTGCTTTGATTGGCCTTTCGGAAACTGGGCATTACTGTTCTGGTTCTAATTGTACCGTTCTCCTTTTTTTTGTAATAAATCTACTTAAAATTTAAAATAGGTACTACTATTTCTTCTACTCTTGTGTTAATAAAATATCGTATTTTGTAGTTTCGATGAGCGTGAAATCACGAAGCCATTTTAAAACTAATTCCTATCACGGTAATGAAGTTAAATATATGTGATTTAAATAATTTAATTTTCTCTCTTTTTAATACACTGCAATGTTTATTTCGTTCATATCATTCAAACCTCGAAGAATTTTTTTGTAATTTAACACTAAATCATTGTGCATTAGATTTATATTCTATTTTTAACACGTATCCTCCACACATCGATACAAACACACGCGCAAATGTTCATTGACAAAATTATTTACACTATCACGTATCGAATACATCTCTAATAACTTATCGATATAACACTAATACAATATCACTACTTAGTATAAAACAAAGTCGTCCCGCTGCCTGTCTGTCCTTATGTATGTTTATATCTTTAAAACTGCGGTTCTTTTTACTAGTGATTCAAGAGGAAGGTTTATATGTACAATACATTGCACCCGTGCGAAGCCGGGGCGGGTCACTAGTCATGTATAACATGTTCACTAACGGAATATGTGTGTGTGAGTACGGATTTCTATGATTCTAAAGAAATTGAGGCGCCCGGCCCTGGTAGCGGTCCCTCCAAACGCCCTCTTTGACGGAATTGGCTCTGTTCACTTTCCCGTACTGGATGTTGGGGCCATAAGCCCCCCTGCCGCTCTGGTTGTTGCTACTCCTGAAGGTCATCGTGGTGCAGGTCCGCATACTAGACGTGTTGGACTTTTGACGTAGGCCCTGCATCTGAGAAAATGTTTACTTTATTTATACAGATAAATGAAATTGGAGTTTCTGTTTGTAATATTAAAATAACCGCTTTTTACTGAATGCATATGAAAATATACAAGATATACCATAATAACAATATAAATAACATAAATTTTTCTGTCTGTCTGTCTGTTTGTTCAGCGTAATATCTGAAACAGCTGGACCGATTTTGACAGGAGTTTCACTGGCAGATAGGTGATGTCCTAAAGAGTAACTTGGGCTACTTTTATTTTAGAAATTTTATTCATTTTAAATTCCACGCGGATGAAGTCGCGGGCACAGCTAGTTTCGTACCATTGTCTATAAAAACGCCAAAAAAAATCATGTCTGTGGTATGGGATATACTTAAATATTTTTATTTTATTCTGTTTTAAGTATTTGTTGTTATAGTGGCAACATAAATACATCATCATATCAACTTTCAACTGTAGCTATCACAGTTCATGATAAACAGACAGACAGCAGTCTTAGTAATAGGGTCCCATTTTGCCCTTTGGTAGGCAAAGGAACCCAATTTCCAAAGGAAAAAAATGGCAATATTTTTTACGATCGATGCACATGGGCTAAGACACACATGATTTACGGGCGTCTGTGTTTGCGAACTTGTTTATGGAAACATCGATAGTAGATCGTGATGTGAATCTTATGCAAGAATCGTTTTGTGGTGAGACATTTAAATTTACCTCACAAAAAAAAGTTTGCTTCAAATTTAGTGATGCACACAATACCGGAGTGGAATAAGCAAAGCCAGTCTCTATATTCCAAGAAATTCTCAAGATTTCACAAAGACAAGGATAATAAGCACAATTCTATCAGAAAATGCTTAATTTAGACCGACAACGTAATGCAACAAAAGCAAAACAATAAAATCTTAAGTCACTAAACCTTTACATCATGTTCATTCATTAAGAATTGAATAAGTTTCTCTTATTCATGTATTTCATTTAAATAATTAGTAGATAAGACTTAAATAATTATTAGATAAAATGAACCCACACACGAGACATTCATGCGAGGTGAAAGAAGAAAGAAGAAATTAATTTGTTTGACATTTTTCCTTCATCAAATTAGTTTTTAGAACGCCATCGATATAAATAAGAAGTCACCAGTACTTCTGTCAGTAGTTGCCTATTAGCATTTTGTTCACAAGGTGACATCAATTGAAGAACACCAATGGATCCAATGTCGATTGTACGGTACCATGATTATTATCATACAGCAACATAAGCAATTAGCAACAACTCTATATGTTTTTTCTTTTGGGCCATGCTTAGGACGACGATGCGACATGGGCAAATAAAAAACACAAGCGATAAATAAAACACACGATACAAACAAACCAAATGAAATAACAGTCTGTGCGAACTTACATGAAAATTAGTACTAGAGTGTATGTTACCAGGGTCGTGACAGAGTAGTTTCCGTAGCGACCGCCTAAAGTTCCTTGTCATCAGGCAATACACAATAGGGTTGATGGCGGAATTTGCATGACCTGTGAAATGTTTATTTGATATTGCTAAAAAAGAGTAACGGATACAATTTTAAGACCAGATGGAAGCGTTGACAGTGCCGTATTTTTTTATACGACAAAGTGGTGACTGGTGGAGAATGACAATAGGCATTACGTCCGCCCTTTATAACCCTTTTGAGGTGTTTTAAATAAAGAATAAATAAATAAAAATAAAAGTGGCGAACGAGCTGGCGGCCCACCTTATGTTAAGTGATAACCGCCGCCCATGGATATTTTCAACACCCGTAGGGTTGCAAATGCGTTGCCATCCATAAATAGAGTGGGCCCCGGCTACCTCACTCACCAGACGAAACGCAGAAGTGTAACAGTTCTCTTTCACTTTACGCCGGTCTTCTGAGAGGTCGTGGTACTTACCCGGACGGACCAGCCCATTTGTGCAACAGTGAATACTGTTGGGTGGTCCTACCACAGAGTATGATACTTAATTTTGCGGTAGGGATGTCGAAAAAAATATCGATATATAGATGTTTTTAGCCGATATATTTGGATCCGATATAAAATATTAAATATTGAAATCTTATCAAAAACGATATTTTGTCAAATTCGAGTCAAATCCGGCACAGAGTGCGTACATTCCAAATATTTAATACTTCACATACCTGTTTTTGGACAACGGGTCCTAAACAGAAAATATCGATATTTTGATATTTTATCTTCGATAAATGGAGCCCGATATTGATTTTTTTTATAAATATCGATATATTTCTTCACTTTCGACATCCCTATTTTGCGGCTTAGAATCCTAAAAAAATATTTTATTTCTAATTCATTTATTTTTAAATAGGGGTCTCTCACTTTTTGGAAAACTAAAACAATTTATCAGTTATTAAACTCAAATTTGAATATAGAATGATATAAATTCAACTAGAAAGAAAAACATAACAATTTATTTGAATTTAATCAATGGGATGAACAATTAAATAGTAATCCAATTTTTTTGCAATTGTTGACTTAGCGTATTAAATAAAAAGTGCAGATTGTAACGCGTTGAAATTGATGAAAATAGTTAAAAGAATTAAATTTATGAAACTGTCCACTCTCTTACCCAGAAGCAAGGTGTACGGTAGAAACAGAGCACCCGAGTCGACTTGCACCGCGTTGACGTCTATGAGAAGCTGCAGAATGTTGTAAGGAAGCCAGCACAGTGCAAATAGCACGGCAAGCAGCAAAAGGATCCAAGCGACCCGCTTCCTTTCACGGACGAGCCGCAAACGCTGGAAGTGGAAGAAGAAGAAATGTGGGAGATATTTTTAAGCCTTACTGTAGGATAACATTATCCTGTGTTGTAAGAACGTTTTACATACGTAAATACAACTTAGCCCGTTTTAATAGAAAGATCGCACGTGAAACCGGAAAAAAGGTCGAATGGTGGTGCGACCTAATAAACATATAAGTAAAGTGAGAAAGAGGCAAAAATTAAAAAGTTCCGTTACGACAACTTTTTTATGATGCTTAGCGCAAATCAGTTATTTATAAACGAATATAAATTGGTTTAACTCCTTGAAGAAACTGTTACTATCTTTGATAGGACCGCTGTCCTATAGTAGATTGTTCAAAACAAATAAAAGATTTTTATTACACCTACGTGAAAGCGAACATTATTGTGATTAAATAAAACTTTTTGTCTGAGCAATCCCGGGAATTCCTCCTTTATTTCTTCACATAAACTATCTAAAAAGATAAGATAACACGCTGAATTATTTTATTCCATTATGTTGATATTCTGAGTAATTTTATTATTTCAGTGTTAGTATCTGCAACAGTCTTTGACTTGGGCAGGTCAGTCAAGGGAAGTACCACGACCACTCAGTAGGCGATTGTGAAATGGAATAGTTGTACTTCTGCATTTCGTCTGGTGAGTGAGATAAATTAGGCCCACTTCAAAAAAGATGCCATCGCATTTGCAACCCTACCGGTGTTGCAAATATCCATTGGTGGCGGTTATCACATAACATCAGGTGAACCGCCAGCTCGTTTGCCACTTTCTCACATAAAAAAGTGCAACCAACTCTCAGTAGGCCGGCGTGAAATGGAATGGTTGTACTTCTGCATTTCGACTGATGAGTGAGGTAGCTGGGGCCCACTTTATTAAAAGATGGAAACGCATACAGATGCGAACGCAACACAACCCTACCGGTACAGACCGGTAGGGTTGTGTTGCAAGCATCCATGGGCGATTATCATATAAATCCAGGTGAATCGCCAGGTCACATTTTATCTTTGGAGCCGTGATAGCTCAGTGTCCGGGCGCTCGCCTTGAATTACATATACTCGAGCAACCTGAGTTCGATCCCCGCCAGCACTTATGAAATTGCTAATTTCAAGTGCTAAATTATCGTGCTCGGCGGTGAAAGAAAACATCGTGTGGGACCCTGCATATTTTCGAAATAATAATAAAAAAAATTTTTCGAAAACATTTTAAGTCCGCCAATCCGCAGTGGGGTCGCATGGTGGACTATGCTCTGATACACCCTCTTTACAGAGGAGGCCTTTGCCCAGCAGTGGGACGTTTATAGGCTGTTACTTTACTTTACTTGTCATCTTCTTACATAAAAAAGCTATAGAAAAAGGATTAAAATAGTTAACCTGTTGACTATTCGCACTCCCTTCGGTTTGATCAAATGGTGGCAACACCGAACACAGCCTCCTGCCCATTAGCGAATACGATACCACCACGATGGAGCCTGAAAATTACGATTACAATATTATTTAAGCGTATTGTTATTGCGTGACAATTTCGAAATAGAACTTTACGAAACATAAACGGCAGCAGAAATGATTAAAAAAATCAAGATCCAACATAAAGTTAAATAAATTTCCAGTAGCGAAGAATCTCATTGGACAGCAAGACGTTTCTTCCAGAAAACCAATCTGCACGTCAACTGCTTGTCATTCAACATTGAGTCGGTCGCGTGACTCGAAACAAAAATAGCAAAGCGTTAAAAGTTCATAAAAGAGCAAAGAAAATATTTATAAAGAAGTTACGAGTTCCTATTCTAAAAATTTCCAAATAAAACCTGACTTGAAGGTTAAGTATTTTTTTTACTAAAATGTTCGTAGACGAAGACGAAGACATCCGCAGTAGAACCAAGATAACCGATATAGTATAGAGGATTAGCAAGCTGAAGTGGCGATGGGCCGGCCATATAGCTCGTAGAACCGATAACCGTTGGGGAAGAAAGGTTCTCGAGTGGCAGCCTCGTACTGGCCATCGCAGTGTAGGACGACCTCCCACTAGATGGAGTGACGACCTGTGCAAGTGTGCGGGAAGTCGATGGATGCAGGTGGCTCAGGATCGTACTTCATGGAAGTCTGTGGGGGAGGCCTATGTTCAGCAGTGGACTCAAACAGGCTGAAATGATGATGATGATGAACATACTATTCCCTGAATAATACCTTTTTTTTAAATTACCTTTTCTAAAAAAAGAAATATAAAAAATCTACAGACAACAAGCAGCTTTTCATAAGGTCAATGCGATTAAAGATTTTTTGCTTTTCTATCGCCTCGCTGCTGAATAAAATTAATTAAATAGGTAGTATTCTCAAGAAGTGATGTAGTCCAAGGTACTGAACGCACTAGGTCAATAAAAGTTTGCCAATGTTTTTACCTTGATGACACTGCATTACGGAATTAAAAAAATAAAAGCTTTTCCGTCTTTTATAAGCGAAACCTTTTGACAAGAAATATGCTACGAATAGAAAGGTGAGCTCAAACGATCCTGTGAAATAAGAAATGAAATAAAGAAAGTAAATTCTAAATCAAATTGGTTCAGAATTCTTAAATTATTTATGTTGCAAGGCCTCCCTCTAGGTAGACCGACGATATCAAAGAGTCGCGGGCAACCGGTGGATGCAAATGGCAAAGTGTCATTCGTTGTGGCGTTCTGAGGGGGAGGCCTATGTTCAACAGTGGACGTTTTTATTATGATGATGTTATTTTTTATGTTGATTATATAAAGTTACTACTCTAGAAGGCAATTATAGTGCGCAGTGCCCACTCACCTGGTACAGCATATACAAGAATAAAGCTGAATGCACCGAAGAGTTCTTTATTGATAGTATTCGGCCATTTCTCCGTACAAAACTCTATGCTGCTCTCCATCCACGCCTAGAAATTAATATAAAACGAGAATACATTATGTGTTCTGTAAGTATTCACAAAGTTGCGAATGGAATCCAAATTAAACGCAAATAAGATCCGTAAACTAGTTTTTTTTTTTTATATAACTGATTTACTTTTAGTCCTTAGACTATTAAAACTTCATCGAATGCCTGTAAACTAAATGAATTTTGCAACGTGAAAGTGTTCGACAAAAATATGAATTAATCAACGAATATCTGTATGCTACATAGTTAAATTTAAAGTGTTTCAATATAAATATGAATTGTTAATAATTAGCAAGAGTAGGTAGTTGTCTGCCATGTTTATAATTTTAATGCCTCCCTTTTCTGTCAAAATTATAGATATAAGTGACGTTAAAGGATACAAAATAAAATGTGGAAATATTGTTATATGATACAAAAGAGATTTAAATTTTTTATATTTTTAATCTCTGCTTAAGTTTAAACATTAAAACTGTAGGAAAGTACATTTTGCAAACCAAGCATTGCTTCAAATGCTAAAGAACAATGTAGATAAAAGACGTTAAGATTTTCGTCGATGTGGCGATCAGCCGGTTTAGCTTAGTGGCTAAAGCGTCAGGCCGCGGGTACCGAAGACCTGGGTTCGATTCCCACAGCGGCGACAATCTTTATTACTTTTTCTACAAATTTTAAAGCCAAGAATTATTTTTATAAATTTCTATATAAAAAATGTTTAGGTAAATGATGCAAGTGCCTACACAATACACTTATGCAAAACAAGGCTACTATTAGAGAGATATGAAAAAATATTGATCTTTTTCAAAGCACATTTTCTCAAGTCTTATATTATTTAAAAGGAATTGCTCGAACTACTCTTAATTAAAATTACGACAATAAGCACAAGTACAAATATATTTCTTTGAAAGCACTTCTGAAATAAATTAAAAATATATTTTAATTCGCTTTCGAAAACCTTTGAGTTTTAATTATTAAAGCATGACAATTTTGTTAAGATTTTTACAAACAATAAAAAACTAATTTAATTTTTTGACGAATCCGTCAGCGTGTAGTAAAGATTTGTAAAACAACAAAAAAATTAAATTAATGTAATGTTACAGTTTTAATGGTCTTGATATTTGAGTTTGATATTTTGATATTTTGAGATTGATATTTTGAGTTTGATGGATATTTTGAGTTTTTGAAATAAAAATGTCGACAACATACAACTAAAGTGCAGTATACATCCCGGATATAACGTTGTTCTTTTAAAGTAAACTTCTCTTTCTTGTACGGAAGACGTTTTAGCTTTTTGCATTTCAATCGACATGTGGTCGATGCAAATGACGAAATGGAACACATGAATTTGTGTGACGCCCGTGCAACTTTGAAGCTATTACATAATTAGATAGATTACTCCGACGATTACTGATTATTAAAAATCAAACAGATATCGATGACCTCGTGATCATTTAACAAAATAACTATTTCATTGAAAGCTAAAAGAGTATAGCTTCACTCACTGATCCATTCTCGTTCCTGGATAAAAGTGGCACCACCTCCCTTTCCACTGCAGCCACCACCAGCAGCGGTGCAAATATCGCCAGGGCCACCAGCCACAGCACTCCAAGCAGTATACACGCACCACGCCGCGACGGCATCCAAGGCTGCCGCAGGGACTGTGTGATTGCCAAATAGCGGTCTACCGACATTGCCGTGATAGTAAACACGCTCGATGCAACAGCCACGCCTGCAAACATATAAGTTGGTCATACATTAACTTTATATGTACGAAATAGCGCATTGACTTGGGAAATACTACATTCTCATGGATTATCGGCGTAGATTCTAATTATTTATGATATTGTTGTTTTACTCATTTGTGGCAAGCCTGTAGCTTTGCTGTTGTACAACTTCACTCATCAGTATAAAAAAAAGTAACAGCATGTATATGTCTCACAGCAGTTTATCATCTTCCTTTATTAATTTCTCAACATATTTTGTAAAAAAGTAGATATTACTTCATTCCTCATTCAAGTTAAAGTTTTGTTTGTCTTTTTATAATTTTCCCCTTCACCCGTTTAAATCGGTTACGCTTCACACCGCACCGGTGCCCTTCGGGACTTCACCTGATCAGCCCTGGGAGCAGGACAAATCTTTCCCGATTCCCTCAGCGATATGTGGCACTTCGTACCGTTATCCATACCAGGTCCACTAAAGTGGACGATTAGGTTCCTAACCCCGACGTCCGTGAACCCAGTGTTAAAAATGTTCCCAAGGAACGATTGAAAACAGACTTTTCACCTTTATACTGATTCTTGTATGGACAAGCGAATTGAATCAAGCCCAACTTGAAAAAAAATCTTTCCATGAAATTTTGTAATCTTAATAAGCTTTCCTTTCGCAATTCTAACCTTGGAGGAAATTGACCATTTTGCACATCACTTCGCCGAAGTACCACAGCAATGTCACCGCCTTAGCGATCTGGACGGGCATGCAGAACAATGTCACGAGCAAATCCGCCACTGACAGATTCACCAGAAATATGTTCGTCACGCTGTAACAAAGAAAAATAACGCTTAATTTCATGTATTAACATATATAAATCTAACGAGATAGCGAAGGAAGACATATCAGCTTTGACCATCAAGTATTTGTTTACACCCTTGGAAAGTAATTTACAGATGCAAACTTGAAGAACACGGGCAATGAGTCTCCAACTGTTGTAACTGTCTATACAATGTTATCCCACATGATGGTAGAATAATTACGTGCTCTTTGATTTTTATCTTAGCTTCATATACGTATTTTTCAATTTATTTAACTTAATATTAAACATATAATCGCAAGTAATTAAAATTATATGAAGTAAAAAAGTAAAGTAACAGCCTATACATGTCCCACTGCTGGGCAAAGGCCTCCTCTATACAGAGGGTAGCAGGGCATAGTCCACCACGCGGCCCCACTGCGGATTGGCGGACTTCACATATATCCGAAATATATTTTTTTTTGTTATTATTTCGAAAATATGCAGGTTTCCTCACGATGTTTTCCTTCACCGCGGAGCACGTGATAAGTCAGCACTTAAAGTTAAAAACTTCATTGGTGCCGGCACCGGGGATCGAACTCAGGTTGCTCGAGTATATTGAATTAAGGCGAGCGCCCGGACACTGAGCTATCACGGCTCATATGAAGTAGCAAATATATAATTATTTTAATAAAATGCAATGAAAAACGTCTTGAATTTGTATATAAAATACGAAGACACCATCTCCCCAACTTAATATCTCTGATCACTTCGTACTAGCATAATATTCTCAAGTCTAATTGCAAGCCTTCATAAACACATCTTAAATTTTCTTTTTCAACTTATTTGGATGTCATCAAAATGTACCATACATTGACGATACATAGTATGAATAAATTAAATTATTTTGCCTAAAATAAACTTTGAACAGAACTAAATTAGCTCCGTAAATTTTCCTTAAACAAGCGCTCAAGTAATTAATTGACTTGTATAATTAGATACTGATATTTAATGAATTCACAGTTTCAGTGAATATGAAAATTAAAATTTTGCGCACCATTTGAATATGAAAATGATTAATTACGTAAAATCTATACTAGTGTATTATAAACCTTCCTCTTGAATCACTCTATCTAGTAAAAAATACCGCATCAAAATCCGTTCCGCAAAAGATCTAAGCATACATAGGGCCACACAGACAGCGGGATGACTTTGTTTTATACTATGTAGTGATAAGTAAAAAATAGGAGTTGATAGTATAGGGGTTAAAAATTGAGAGTAAAATGAGATTATTTTATTCTAAATCATGACAAAATAAATATTCCATTCTTGCTAAAAAATTAAAGTTCATCGTAGAGGAGTGAAAATTTAAGGTTGGATGTATTTTCTCTCTAAAAAATTAATATAGGGTGGACCATCCTTAACATTTAGGAGGATGAAAAATAAATGTCCGATTCGCAGACCTGACCGATATGCATACAAAATTTGACGGAAATCGGTCGATCTATTTTGGAGGAGTTTAATTACAGACACCGTGGCACGAGAATTTTATAATATTAGATTTATTTAAAGAAAAAGTTACGCATCAATTTCTTCTCATTATTTTCTTTATTGAAATTTATAATACGAATATACGAAACCCTTTTTCCACGTTTATTTTATACTGCACAGACCAATTTTAAATAAAATATTGATTGTAGCCTAAACATTATTTTTTTTTTTAGATAAATAGTCAAGTTATGGTGGCTATGTGGCAGTTCAGTGGTGGTGCATCTGGGCACGGTGCCCGGAGAACCCATGTAAGTACCACTACCTCACAGAAGACCGGCGTGAAGTAGAAATGTTACCCATCTGCGTATATCGTCTGGTGGTTGAGGTAGCCGGGGCACACTTTATTAAAATATAAAAGGTGGCAACGCATCTGCAACCCTACGTGTTGCGAATATCCATCGGCGGTATTTATTAATTAACATCAAGTGAACTGCAAGGTCGCCCCTCACAAAAAAAGCATGTGGGAATCCCACATGAACGCTGTAAAGGGTTTGTGACGTCGGGAATTAAAACTAAAAATTAACGCCATATTCCGAACATAGGTCCATTTAGAAAAGCTCTAATATCTTAAACATTTAATTGGAATAATTGCATTAACGTGGGGTAAATCATTGCGTGCACCTTGACTGACAAGGCTGTAGATAGTCATGGTGATTTTGCAGGTTTAACTATGTTAACAAGCAGGTAAAAGCTTAGAAGTACAGTTCATTTGGCATGAAAAATTATAGTGAATAGAGCGATAGTGTAAACTCATTCAACACATAATTAATTCAAATTCAAAGAACAAGTCAATATTTTTCAGTAATAATAATAAGTTCCAAAGTCGGTAAAGGACCTTACATTCGCAGTGTGAGTTTCACAAAAACGTTAAGATAACATATAATAAAATTATGCCGGAAGACGATAAATCATTTCGCCGACATGGCTTTTTCCGATCAATTAGAGGTATCTGCAAGCAGGTGGTGGATGACCTATTCTTTTTAAAACGTCTGAAAAACAATAAAGCCCACGGAACTGTATGGGAGAACCACTTATTTTAACCACTTCTCTCCCAGACACCTATTTTAACGAATTATTTTTAAAGACATTGTCTGAAATATACTTAAAAATCAGCTTGGAGAAAATACGTGAGGAACGATTACCTGATACCGGGAAAGTCGCCCACTGAACAAGTCTTTACTTAAATTTGGCATTTAATTTGTTTAACTATTTTAGTTTTAGATATGGGTATGTGTTCTATTCAAAAATCTTTTAACAATTCATTAGTTAAGGTTTTTATTTAGACAAAGTGATGGTAGCGACAAGTTTAAATAACAACGTAGTCTGTATATAAGCTGTGTCTATGTCCATATGACTGCTACAAATTTTGTGTATGAAAGCGGCGTTGATCGTGTTACTAATTTATTTTCGCATTTATTAGGCGAAAAACATTACTTTTTATTTGTGTAATATTCCCATTGTTACATTCTCTTTATTGTATCGAGAAATAAAGAAGGCATTCATACTATTTGTATTATTTTACACTAGGCGCGTATATTCTTTTTAACATCATCCGATATTTATAAGGTCTCTTTTGTAAATTACATTTGGGCCTCCCAACAGGCTAAAGAATGGATTTTGTTTCAAGCTTAAATTCCCGACAAGGGTTTTCTTCTGAGTGTATACTTTATTTTCTATTTTTATAAGCTTTAATCTATGGAAATAATGTATTAGCTATTTTATTCAAGATTTCATGTTTATTGTGAATAATATACTTTTTATGGTATTTGTACACTATTTATCGCTTCGCTACGATGTAGATGTCGCTGCCCTCAGCGAGACACATTTAGCGGAAGAAGGAGAACTGGTGGAACACGGTGGTGGGTACACTTTCTTTTGGAAAGGACTCGCTGCCTCAGAACCGCGACGGTCAGGTGTTGGATTTGCGATCAGGAATAGATTTGTCAAGCAACTCCAAGAGTGTCCCATTCACATCTCGGACCGCGTTTCCACACTGCGCCTACATCTTGACAATCAGAACTATTTTAATGTGATCAGTGTTTATGCGCCTACCTTAAACAACTCTGATGACATTAAAGATCAGTTCTATGAGGAGCTTGCAAAATGCATTAAAAACATAAGGCCTAAAGAGCAGATTCTTCTGTTGGGCGATTTTAATGCCAGAGTTGGACGGGACTACGATGCATGGCCTAAGGTCTTGGGTAAGCACGGAGTTGGGTGCATGAACAGCAACGGACACCTGTTACTCAGTCTCTGCGCACAATTCCAACTTGCCATCACGAGTACCATGTTCAGACTTCCCGCTAAATATAAGAACACCTGGATGCACCCACGGTCCAAGCACTGGCATCTTATTGATTATGCCATCGTACGGCAACGAGACGTTTCCCAGGTCATCACAGGCTTGTTGTTACCAAACTGCGTCTCCGACTCCACTTTCCCCGCCGGTTTAGAAAATCTAAGCCAAATGTGAGTTTTAACGTGGATGGACTAAAAGATCCTGTGACGAGGGGGAAATATGGTCGGTCGCACTTTGGCCACTGGATTACCATCCGTCAACAAAGACACTGGCCGAGTTGACTGCGATTGGGGTACTCTGTCTTCTCATATCCTAGACACCGCTGCAACTGTTTTGGATCAAAAAGTCCGAAAGACCGAAGACTGGTTCGATGAGAATGACATAGTCCTGACAGGGGCAGTCGATAGACACCGACGTCTTCTCCGGCAACACCACGGAGTAAACCAAAATGTGCGAGCTACGGAGATCAGAAAAAGTGACCAGGAGCTTAGGCGGCTATCTCGGGAAACTAAGGATAAATGGTGGCGGGAGAAAGCTCATCACATTCAGTGGCTCGCTGACACTAATCAGCTTGGAGAGTTTTATGGTGAGGTTCGTAAGCTAATTAGTACGACTTCTTTTGCAAAAGTGCCCATTAAGCCTGCTAATGGCGAAGGTCTTCTAAAAAGCAAAGAGGAAGTACTCGAACGTTGGGCGGAACACTTCAGCATTCTGCTGAATGTGGACCGGGCTGCAGACCTGGAACACATTCGTTCGATACCTCAACTCCCAATTTGCACTGAGCTGGATGAGTCACTATCATGTGAGGAGATTGCTCTCGCCATCAATCAACAGAAAAATAAGCGTGCGGTGGGCATCGACTTTATACCAGGAGAACTGCTTAAATACGGTGGTAATGAATTGCAACTGGCTATTTGGGAACACTTTGATCGTATGTGGAAAGAAGAACAAGTCCCACCTACTTTTAAATTATCACGCATAAGGGCCCTATATAAGAACAAAGGTGACCGATCCGATTGCAATTCATACCGCGGAATTTCACTTCTATCAGTCCCCGGAAAAGTTTTTGCCCGTGTACTACTTAACCGCCTCATGAAACTTTCAGAACAGCTTTTACCC